ATTAAATGACTTTCAAGCTTTCTTGATCAAGTTATTGCATTTATCATATGAATATAAATCTAATTTTTGATATATTCTCCCTTATATTAGAGAGTGAGTTTTTCTTCTCTATTATCTAGAATATATTCTCACAACTGAGTGTCTTTAAAGGTTTCAAAATGGAGCTATCTCATAAAAATAATGAGAGACATAAAATGAGCTAAAAAATAAAAACTGAAAAGATGCGCAATGATTGCTAAATAATTGAAAGATATATAAAGTGTATCAAAAATCAAAAGATGCATAAAGTGTACTAAATAATTGACAAGATGCACAAAATGAGCCCACAAAAAATCAATCTTCCTTTTCTTTTAAATTTTTAAATCTTAAAAAAATTTATGTGTCACTTGATATCTTTATAGACTTGATTTTTGAAACTCTTGATCATAACTAATTACTTTGTTATATTATTCTATAAGATATTTTTTCTAAAATAAAGTTTTGAATAGATTACTTTTCTTTTCTGATTTCTTTTATGAGTTAGATTTTTATTTTTAAAAGATTTTTATCCTATAGGAAATCTTAGCTAGGATTAACAATATTAGTTGTTCTACTATTTTTCATATTTTAGTGATGCTAATTCATTTCTTACTAATTTTAATTCAATTAAGAAAAAAATTTATCATCTTCTAGTATTGATTAAAAAAACATGTTTTTCTGGTCCTTTATTATTTTTCTCATGTTTTTATTATGTTTTTACCTTTTTTTTATGTTTGACTTTTTCTATTTTGTATTTTTTCAATTTCCTCCTTTTTGTGATGTCAAAATGGGGAGTAGAATTATTGTTGTATCGTTTGCTTGTTTTAGTAAAATTTGCTTTGCTTTACTTATATTATTCTCTTTTGTTTTATGTTTTATTTTTTTAATCTACTTCATTTAAAATTATCTAATAAATATTTGTGATCATAAAAAAGCGGGATATTATTGCAAATCTAGATTTGAGCATTATAATTTTGATTATAATAAACATTAATGTTTCTCTACTACTATTACTATTATACATCTATTTTGGTTGCCTTGCCTACTAACATTTCAGATCCACAAGATTAATTACAATTCAAGCTAGCTCAGGATTAGGTAAATTAGGACTGAGTTAGTCTGTAATTTTAATTCTAGTATTTTTTTACCTTTTCTTGAGTCAAATATAATAAGGTGGATCCTGATGCTAAGTAACTTTGCACATACACGCAGGGGAGAAATTTTATAAGTTATAGAGTTTTTTATCTTTGATCATATTGTACAGGATGATCCAAAATCATCATAGATGATTAGTTAAAAATAGAAACCTAACTAGGGCATCTGTGTTAAGTCAGCCTAATTAAGCAAATCTAATAAGACAATCTTCCAATCATCCTAGATGATATGCTTAAATAAAAAATACTCAACTGCCAAACTCATTTAGGCAAGATTTTATTTTTTAGAATTTTGTTCTAATCATACGGACGATCCAATATCATCCTGGATGATTCATTATAATCATGCCTAAGTTATTCATGTGATTAAGTAACATAATTAATGTTATATTATTTGATCATATCATCCAGGATCATTGCAGGATCGTATTAAACAATCTCTAAAAAAACCTTAGCTTTCTCCTAAGCATGTTGGATGACCTGAACTATGTACTGGACGATAATATCTGATTTTGAACTAATCATACATGATGATATACACATCGTCATGGATGATCAGTTTTATTTTTACATCTTCCAGATTTATCTTCTAAACATCCCGAACTATCTGATGGACAATAATGTATGATTTTAAACTAATCATACAAAATATTGTCCATATCATTCTGGACGATCAGAATAAACTTTATTTTTTTTATCATATAGGAAGACCAGATTATCCAGGCTGATACGACTGATTTAAACTAATTTTATAGAATGATCTGTCCTTAATTATCTTTGAGGGCAAGTTTAAAATTAGGACTTTTTTTAAAGGCCTTCTATTTGTGTTCTCTTATTTTTTGATGATAAAAGTATTTTATTGTAATCCTAACCTAAGAGAGCTTAGAGAACAAGAACGAGAGCTTGGGAGAGAGAGAGAGAGAGAATCTTGTGAGGAGAATCACAAAAGTTGCTCTAAGCAAGGATTTATTCATCTTCTTAAAGCTTCATCATTAGCTCCTTGGTGGCTTTAAAGGAGATGATTATCAGCATTGGATTAAGGTTCTCTGCCAACTCTACGAGGGAGTAAAAAGATTCCAAGTTCTCTGCCTTCACCAAGAGGGTGAAAAAGGATTCAAGATTCTGTGCCTCATCGGGATAGTAAAAAGATTTTGTAAAGGCTTTTCTGCCTTGCTATGAGAGCAAAAGGAAAGTCATTAAAGGTTTAGTGTGCTACCTGGAGAGGGTGTCTCTAAGTAGTGGACGTAAATCAAGTTGACCGAACTACTATAAAAATCTGGTGTGCTCTTATTATTTACTTTTTTATACTTTAATTTTCACATATTTCTCTGATTTGCTCTATTTTGAAAATCTCTGATTTTTGTTATCTGCTTCCGTAGAAGTTATTTAGTTTTTATAATATTCAAATAATTTTAAAAAAAATTTCTCTTTTTATTTAAGAAATTTTAAAACCATCAATTCACCCCATCTTGATTAGCCTCGGGACTAGTTCATAAGGGCTTAACAACCCTAATGAACTTTTAGGATTGAAGTTTCTCACAAATAATGCCAAACTATTATGAGTTAGAATATACATGATGATAGAGTGATAATATTACATCTTAGTGTTGTACGGATATCTAGCTCACACACAGATAATACAAGAGTTTTTACATGAAAAATCCTTGAAAGGAAAAAATAACGGGGCCTAGCCTAGTCTGAAATGATTCCACTAGTATTTGGATAGATTACAATGGGTTGACTCATCTGTGAGGGTGATCATATTACAAATGGCAAACATATGGTTGAAATTTAGTGACAAACATGAATGAAAATTCAGAGTCACTTGATGGTCTGGTAGAACTCTGGCATGACTTAAAAATTCGGGTGTTAATTGGTAGTTAGGCAAAACTCAAGGGTCACTTAGTGGTCCGGCGGAACTTCAGGTGTTAGTTGGTGGTCTAGCAGAACTCCAAACATTAAGTGGTGGTTCGGCAAACTCCGGGCATCAGGTGGTGGTCCGGCGGAACTCTAGGCATCAGGTGGTGGTTCGGAGGAACTCAGGGTGTCAGGTGGTTGTCTGGATGAACTCTGAGTTGTGGTTGAAGAGGCAAGGAGGCAAAAGCGATCTCCGATATCTCTCTTGTTTCCTTAGCCTTAAGGGGTCCCTTTTCAAGAGGAATGAGTGGTCTATTTAGAACTTTCCTAGAGTGGCATGGCCCGTAAATAGGAGGAAGATCCAAGATAAATGTGGACATCAAGTGGTGTTCTAGAGGAACTCCAGGCATCATGTGGTGGTTTGGCGAAACTCTGGGCATCAGGTGGTGGTCCAACAGAACTCCAAGAGATGGTCGAGGAGGCAAGGAGGCAAGAGCGATCTCTGATCTTTCTCTTATTTCCTTAGGCTTAGGAGGACCCTTTTTAAGAGGAAGGAGGGGTCTATTTAAAGATTTCCTAGAGTGGCATGGCTCATAAATAGGAGGATCAAGGGTAAATGGGGAGTGGTTTGGATGGATGACCGATGTTGAATTATGGACCATTCACTACACATTTGAAGGTCTTAATATTGTCATAATTTAGTGATCTTATGCTTGTTGGATTCTTCTCGTCGAACCGCTCGATTCGAATATAAGCATGTAACATTTGGAAATCGTTTGGTAATCCAAATTATGGTTTAAACCTTCCAACTATGCTTTGGGCCCTTGATTTGGACCCATTTGGGCTTAAATTGAGTCAAATTTGGTGTCCTTGGGTTTATATTTTCGAGACATTTAGTTCAATTGTAAGTTCGCTGAAATCGAGGTTCGGGTGGTCCCAATTTTAATTTTGGAAGTTTTCAACTTGATTTTGCCTCATGATTTGTGCCCGATCATGATATTTTTTGTAAAGATGTATCAATATTATAAGTCGTATTACTATTTTCTGATATTTACATGTTATTATATTATTTAATTAATAAAAAAATATGTTTAAAATTATTATATAATCGATTTTAAATCCGCAAAAAATCTTCTGAACATTAATGGGCTGTTTGGTATCGGATTTATCGTCGGATTTACGTTAAATCTAGCGAAATGGTTTTACAACGCGTGTTAAATGCCGGGATTCAATAAATCCCGAATTTACGGCTTAAATCCCGGATTTACTAAATCCCTCGGTTCGGTGGATTTAACGGGATTTAAAGAGTGACGGAAGACTTACCCGCGGCGCCCGTGTCGCCGAAGAAGCGCACGAAAGGGAGAACCTTCACAGCGAGCAAGCTCCCCTTATTGCTTCCAATCAAAATGTCATAATTTCCGAGCCGACAGGAAGGGAAAGTCGTCCAAGGAGCCGAAGTAGCGACGCGCGCAAACTCTACACCTCCTACAAAGCAACGCAGCCGAACAACAACGACGAAAAGGAAAGATGAAGGCAAACCAACCCTAGACGCCTCAAAGTTATTATTTTTTAACTTAATAATATAATTTAAGCAATTAATAATTAAATAAATTAATTAAATAAATAATATTATAATTAGAGCATAAATTAATTATTTAATTTAACTTAATTGACTAATTAATGATATAATTAATAATTAAATATTAATATAATTAGCTTATTTAATACTTCATTTGTCACTTTGGTCAATGTTAGTTTGTAATTTGCTTTTTATTAAATTTTCTCTCATTTTATATGAACTAAAATTAATTTTATTATATTTTATAAAATGAACTTTATATTTTTAACATATTTCATATTTACTAAATTTGAATTTACGGAATTTATTAAATCCCACTAAAATTAAATCTCACTTTCCAAACTGCCCCTAAAAGCTTTCGATCTTTCACAGGTCTCTTTCTGTCCTGTACGTTTTATCGATTTTCTGAAACCATTCTTACAGAAAATTTCTTACGTTTTATCGATTTTCTGAAACCATTCTTACAGAAAATTTCTCCGCCACTATGACTTCCCCTCCTTTTCGGTTCCATTGGTCTCCTACCGACACCTTCCATAGTTCCATGGCTTCGTCTACCCTACTTCCGCTCATCCTCGTTTTCCTGCATGGTCTCCGCGGCGGCGATGGCTGCTTCACCGCAATCTTCAGCTTCGGCGATTCCATCGCCGATACTGGAAACCTTCTCATCTCCGAACACGGTAATATCCAGTCCGCCAGGCCCCCTTACGGCCAGACTTTCTTCAACCGCCCAACCGGACGCTACTCGGATGGCCGACTTATTATTGATTTCATCGGTCCGTGTTCTCTCCTTTTCTGTACTGTGTTTCTTCTTCTTCTTCTTCTTCTTCTTCAAGCCTTACGTAACCGAACGATGAGCAGCGGAGGCTCTGGGATTTTCTTTTATGCCGCCCTTCCTAGAAGGGCCTGGCGACGGAGGGTTCCGGCGAGGGGTAAACTTCGCTGTGGCTGGGGCTACTGCGCTCGACGTCCACTTCTATAGGGAGAGGGGCATGGACGTCATACGGACGAACCTCTCTCTGCAGACTCAGTTTGGATGGTTTAAGGAATTGCTGCCCTCTATCTGCTCTACAGATTCAGGTCAGTCACTCCACAGAAGAAATTATTAACTTATTATTTGAGGCAAGTAGTTTGCTTTTTATTTCCAGAAGTGTATTAGATTTCTGTTTAGTACAAATTTTTTTTTTTTATAAAGATATTTCTGTGATAAATCAGTCCCTAAAGATGTTGTCACTATTCCCCCCCCCCCCCCCAAACCCCCAAAAAAAAAAAAATGTGGTAACTTGGTAACAGTGACAAAATTATTGTCCAACAGTTTAAAAGAAAAAAGCTAAAATATCCGCTAAAAGCTTTTACAAAACATATTTTCCCCATAAGAATTGTGTGACTGACTGAAAATAGACCCTAATTCCACTTGAAATAACCGCTAAGGCCACTCAAAAAAAAAAAAAAAAGCCAAAATCTCCAAGGGGATCAATTATTCTGTGAGGACACCGAACACTGTCCGGAGACCAGTCAGAATGCGCTAGGTCACCCCGTTGCTCGTACCGTAGCTCGGCACCGCTAATTTGGCACATTTTTTGATTGTTCTCCAAATGGTATTCTATGTTCGGCCTCTGCACATAATAATTTCTTCTCCAAGGGAGCACATGCGTATGCAGTCCACCGACAGCTTTAACCAAATTCCAATTCACATGGTAATGTAACAAAGTGAATAGTGTGATGCCATTGTTCACCAACGAATTTTTTTTGAAGTAAAAAATTCCGTCAAATTCCAATTCACATGGTAATGTAACAAAGTAAATAGTGTGATGCCATTGTTCACCCACGAATTTTTTTGAAGTAAAAGATTCCGTTGAGAAAAAAATATATGCATAATATATATATATATATATATATAAATATAATATTATTTATATATATTATATATAAAGAAATGGAATTTGATTTAAAATGAATTACTGCATTTCGGAATAGAAAATGAATTTTCCGGTCTGAGATGACCTAAATGGATGAAAGGAAAATAGTGAGTGTGATGAATTTTTTTGTTATATTATAATTGCCTAATTACTACAGAGAATATGCTTCCTTTCTATTGAACTGCAGCATATATAGGCATAGGTACAATAGACTTTTCGCTTGAAGGGTTGGTGATAGCTGTAGTAGTTTAAGGGTGGTGACGATACAGGTTTGATTCTGGGGATATGGCTTTCTGGATTCTGTTATAGTTAGTGTTATTACTGCCACTGAGAACGAATTAATGTAGCTAACTTTCCTATTAATACATTATCTAATTCAGCATTCTCATTTACTAAGGATTTTCAAACCATTCATAACATCATTGAAAAGCAAATTAATTTAAGTAGCGAAAAATACACCTTTGAAAAAAGTTGTAATATGTCGACAAAAAGATTTAAAGAAAGTTACTATGTTTTGATTTGCATCCACCTTGAGCATTTTTAAATCACCACGTTTAAGAAATTTAATGTAAATGCTTATGGCCCCATTAAAATTTTAACAATTTGTTAAAATTTTAGATCTGGTGTCTATTATATTGATTTATTTGCTAATATGCTAATTTATTTTTATTATTAATTATGAAGACATTCTATTATATATGTGAGTTAGCAAACTTCCACTTGTTCAAACTGACTCTCTGGCTAGAAGCATAGTTCCCCACTTGTAGAATTCCGCATTTTAGAAAGATGATTATATTATCACTGAGAAAGCTTTCCAGTAATCAAACTATTGAGTATTACATTTTAGTTTATTGAAAGAACGAGCCACCTGCTGATGGTTGGACCGCATTTATTTAATGATTAGTCCCATAGTTGGTAAAATATTGCTCGTTCCTTCTTTTTTGAAGGAAGCATTTAGAATCTTCAATAGAAGATCTTCAAAATTTAACTTTTCATGGCAGACTGCAGGAACTTACTCGCAACTTCACTCGTCCTAGCTGGGGAGATTGGTGGTAACGATTTTGCCTACGCATTTGGACAAGGAAAATCTCTCAGTGAGCTCAAATCCTATGTTCCTATCGTGAACCATGCCATCGGTGTTTTGATAAACGTATATGCTAATTCCATCCCATCTTCTTCAGATTCCTCTGTCAATATCAATCTTCGTTTTCAGTATCACAATCTTTTACTTTCTGCCAGGATTTGATCGAACTTGGTGCGAAGACATTGTTGGTTCCAGGTAACTTCCCCATTGGATGCCTTCCGATATATCTCATTATGTTTGAGCACTCGGAGGACCATGACCTGAGCACCGGTTGTATCAAATGGTTGAACGATTTCGCTCAATATCAAAACAAGCATTTGCAGTTGGAGCTCGACCGTCTTCGAGCTCTGCACCCCTATGCGACCATCATATATGCTGATTACTACAATCCAATCATGAACATAATCTCCAACCAAAACAAGAATAGTGAGCCTATCTCTCTCCTCTATTCCTTTTGCCATTAGTTGCTTCTTGTTTTGCGCTTGTTCATCATAACAATTACTTGCAGGTACTGGAAAAGTGACTTTGGCTGCTTGCTGTGGCGGCGGCGGCCCTTATAATTTCGGCAATCGGGTGCAGTGCGGAGATGCCAGCGCAAGCGTTTGCGATGACCCATCATTATATATTTCCTGGGATGGGGTTCACCTCACTGAAGCAGCTTACAGATTCATTGCCGAAGGATTGTTGGAAGGGCCTTTTGCTGATCCACCTATAAAAGAAGTATGCTATAAAAGAAGTCCGGATCATAAGGTCGATGATGCCTGACGAAGATGCTAATCAATGCAGTTAAGGAAAGGCAAAAAATTTGAAAACCAAAAGCTTGGGTTCCCTTATGCTATGCCTCTGTTAATCACTACTATAAGCCCTGTTAAACCTGTGCAGTATCTTAACTAGTCGCAAGGGCGTAAAGATGGACATGGATTCGCTAAACCCTATGCTTGTTTGTGGGGTGTCTAAAAGTAAAAAAACACTCCAAATTGTGGCGTATGTCTAAAAAGTAAAAAAACTTCATTTGTATAAAACAATCCAACTCTCTAAGGCTTCGTTTGGGCCGACATTCTTTTCTTTTCCTTTTTTTTTTACTTTCTTACTGTTTCGTAAAGTAGCTTTTTATTACAAAAATTTAAAAAAATGATCTAGTAGCCTCCCCGGGGGTGTTACCTCTTGTAAAGACTTTCGGGTATTAATCCATTTGTCCTTTCTATTCACGGGTGGGATGTCCCTACTGAAGCTTAAGACTACTAGGTCCTAGATTTCTAACTCCCGAAATTGATCAATTTTTGAAGCTAGAATCCTATAACACCATTTATTGAACCACGGGAGTCAGGAGAAGGCCATGATTTACTAATGTACAAATACAACTAATACCTATTGATCTACAATTAGAATTCCAAGGCACCTAATATCCCACGGCATTGATCAATACAAATGAACTAATAGGCTCCACCCCATCCACCACAGATAAACTTTATGATATATTATACCTTGTCTTGGGGCGTCTTTGGCTTTACTCGATCAAGCCCGCCCGTCCAGACGTGGCGCCCTTTCTCATTATCATCTACCGCCCTTTCTTTCCTCCCTACGCGCTCTAAGCCCGGCCCGCGCGCACGAGAGAAATATGAGTTTTCGTCAGCTGATTAGCTCCCATCCCCATTGGGGATGGGACCAGCAGGGGATAGCTTTGATCGAGGCGAGGAGTTGGGCTTTTCTTCGCCGATGAATCTCTTAGATTATGCACCGATTAACTCGTTGATGCCCGAGTAGCTGTACAACTTGCCCATGGTAGAGAATGAATTTGTCCTGTGGTATTGGATCTAGGCTAGTCCTAACTGCTGCACTACGGATTATCTTGTTGAGAGTAGACCTTGACACTTCACCTGACTTGTTCAGCTTTCACACGGAGGCCTGCTTGCTTTTAGACTTTGCTGCTACCTGCGATCTTCGTGATAGTCTTTTACAGATGTGGGAGCTTTCCAGCCATAGTGTGACCCACCCCTTGTTTAAGTCAGAACGAGTCCCCGGGACCCCGGGACATTGGCTTCCTCCAACAGTGAACTATTCAGGATCGCATCCCGCGCATATCTTTAGATCCACCAGTAGTATTATATAAGAATATCCTACAGCCTAGTACATTTAGATTCTTATACTAATTAACCCTTACTTCATAAAGATACCCAAAAGTCTTACAATGAGGGTCCGTAAAGCCAGGAATCTAGAGCAGGATAGCCTCCTCCCCATAGGAAATTAGAAAATAGTCTCTGCAATCTGCCAATGGTCTGCCTCGGCGAAGTCATAGATGACAGTAGGGGGATCAGTGTCGACCCTCTCTAGTAAGTTGTATGTAGCGGTAAATCGAGCAAATCAACTCAAGGGCTTCTGTTGGCTCATGATGTACCGGTTTTAGAAACCTCAATACCTATAAATCATACCGCAACCACGGACACCACTATATGAGGACGTACATCATTATGAAATAGAATTCCTAGAGTGGGAGGGCCTCGAAAGAAACTAGCCCTACTCACTCAGATGAGAGCGGGTCCCGAGGACTGAGAATGTGTCTTGCAAGATTGGTATTCTTCCCAATAATGTAAAAAAGAAAGTGCAGCTAAATCACCATATTGCTTACCGTTCACCGCTTTCTGCTATTCAAAGAGAAATGGCACATATGGTACAAAATCCTGCTCTCTCCTCTCGCTTTGCTCGAGTAAAGACAAGCTTTCCTCTCGCTTTGCTCGAGTAAAGACAAGCTTTCTCGGAGATGCATGCCGATGTGTTGATTCGAGGAGAGAGACCAGGTATGTCGTCTTGCTTAGTTAGGTTGGTCGGGGCATTAGTGGAGTGGGAATTGGTATCAACCGGGGCTGATTGATCCAGCAATAGCTGGTGAGGCTGAGCATCTTGTTGGGATGGTTTTATATTAGAAAGTTGCTTTAAGGAGCAGAAAGAAAGTAGTGCCAAATGAATCCTAAGTTGAAACTTAAAACTGATCATATTGTACAATTTGAATTGAAACTTAAAACGATCATATTGTACAAAAAAATTCATCACGTTAGAGTGTAGAAGTAAAAGATAAGTGAAAATTTGAGATAACACCACCAAAAAAATGGTTGATACATGTACTATAGGAAAACCAGTTGGTTTCAAAATTCTAAGAGATGTCTGCAAGGGTGGCATATATCACCTACTATTTAATGTATACCGCATAGGAATCTAACTCTAGTAGAGTTAATTAAAAATATGTCTATCTATGAAAGGAACTTTTGAAGTTACAATGGCTTGGGGAGACTACATGGAAGAGGTGGTTGGTGCTAGTTCACCGTGCTCTAGTGTTAATCTCCTAAGAGAATCCTTCGAAAGAACTACTCTGAGATATTAATTCCTCCTTTCACATGACTTGAACATAGCCTATAGGACACATATGAATGGGTACCTGCATAGGTATTCATGGATGTAGATTTAGTTCCCGATTTATGCAACCCCTTGAGCATCGGACATCGAAAATGTTGGATAAAATAAAACTAAAAAGATAAGCATGAGTAAAAATTTATTGCTCTGAATTATTTACTAATATTGAGATTCACTTTTCATTAGAGACCAAATGGTCCCATATCCAAGTTTCTCTGAATATCGACTACAATTAAGGATGAGGTTATGCCCATTATTTGAGAAGAGGGGTGAGTGTCTATTTATTAAACTATTCTGACCACGATTCTCTATTGAAGAGAATGCGAGCTAAGGTAAAGGAACCAATTATCATTGGGGATGACCATTCATCTGGTTCTCCTACAAGTATGAAGAATGTGGTTGTTTCTGTTGTTTCAACAATGAGAGGCATGAACGATTAAGGAATAGGTCCTAATGATGAGGAAAATCATCCTTTTCTTTATGGTAGTGCACAAAGGAGGGTAAGTAAAGTCCTTCTAAAGCATGTGAGTGTGTTAGAGTGAGAGGTAGATTCTAGAAGTTGCTGTCACAAGTGTAAAATTGATGGAGCTGTTGAGGAGTGAGATATAGATAAGGTGCCCAGGTAGTTGAAGGGTTCCCCTACATATACCCTTTTTACTAGTCTCATTATTCCATTAAAATTAATTTTGTTAGACAATATTATTGGAAGGTTAATGTCTTTGGAGTCGTTGAATAAGTTCAAGGGTACTAGAGAGCTCAGTGTTGCTGAAGGGAGGGCTATAATGGTGGATGTCACCAGCTCGAGAAAGGCGATGCTTTCTCTTGATGCCCGGGCGACAACTATATGGAACCGTGTGAGCTTGATAAAAGATGAATTGTGCTTACTAATTAATCAAACAAAGCATGAGGGATTTTTTTAGGGTGCTTAGTACACAGAGGAGTACCATGATCAAATGGGAGGTCTGATGTCGAGTATGGCAAAGAATCTTGTACTAGTACATGCTCAGCATAGCATGGGTTGATTTATACTCCTTTCATTTTCTTTTTCCCATAATTTATTTCTATATGTGAGTTCAAATGAGTTGATTCTCAAATGAATAAATCTAATTCCTGTAAAAGAAATGAAGATTTTTTTAAAAAAAAATTCATCAAATGGGATAGAGTGGTTGATGGGCCACACATTTTCAGAGTGGATAAGGTGATTTTTATGAATGAGCCCATTTTGGTCTTTCAAATTCTTAAATGATGAGGAAGAGTGGTGAGATCTTCTATATTAATTTTTATTTTATATGCCTTAGGTTCTTGCGCTTCAATTTTTTTACTATAAATTGAAGCAATAAGTCCCTGAGTGTGGTTCTCCTTTTGCCTCTTCCATACTTCATAGTTTTTTATTTCAATTTTATGATGTTTGGTTTGTGCAAATATGTGGATTAGTTTCTCAATAAGAGGGATTTCCCCAGACGGCTGATTAAAGAGTAAATTGAGTACATTTTTAGGGTGTATTACTTTTCAAATGTCAGTTTTCTTGTCAAGTTCACGATGAAAAATGAGCGGATTAACTCTGTGTTGGATGGAGAATTTGTCATTACCATTGATAATCTAAATTTAGAGTTGTGATTTCTCCAATGTTTAGAGATAGAGAAGCTATGAGTTTTTATGGGGTAGTACGCACATAATTACTATCGAATTGTTCACGCTGAAAAATGAACGGATTAACTCTGTGTTGGATGGAGAATTTGTCATTACCATTGATAATCTAAATTTAGAGTTGTGATTTCTCCAATTTTTAGAGATAGAGAAGCTATGAGTTTTTATGGGGTAGTACGCACATAATTACTATCGAATTATATAGTATCAATAATTTATTTTGCTCTTTGTGATGAGAGAAAAGTCTACAATGGTCTCCGAATATGTTTAGACATGTCTTATAATGAAGGATTCTCAGTAGCGTTTTGTCCAATTTTTGCATTCACTTGGCAAGAAGGTCGAACTAGCAAGCAAAGTGTGCAACTAGAAATCCAAGTTTGTCATTTTTTAGTACTTTTTGATGGAGAGTGTCTACTGCTCTCATCTTGTTGTGGAAGCAGTTAACTTTTTTTGAGGTTTTGAATGAGCAGAGAGCATCATTGTTTTTTTTTTTGATAGAAATGCCAAATGCATTAAAAGCAAAGAAGAAAACAACCTAGATACAACCTACTAGGTGATAGCACCCCTATCACCATCCTCTACCAAAACCGACAAAAAACAATGAGGCACCTTATTACAAGTAAGATTATCCCAAACAAAATTCCCATCCAAAGTTAATCTAGCTCAACAATGTCCCAACTTATTAGCACTCCTATTACAGAAATAAAAAATGACAAAACCAAAATTTTTAAGAAAAGATAAGTCTTCAAAATTAGTTTCACTATAACTCCCATCCAAGTGTTCCACAGATTTCTGAAGATGTTGGATGACATTGAAATTGTCGTATTCTATGAAGATACCTTTATCTTCCAGCATTCTATCTGTAATGACTACCTTCAAGTGCCAAAAAGCAGCTAGTTCCAATGCTCATATATCCCAATGAGAGCATTTAACACCAAAAGCTGAGAGAAACATCCCATTATGGTCCCTAAATACACCACCAATGCCTGCTAAATAAGGTTGTGA